CATTTCGTGGAGATAAGGAGCAGTGCCAAGACGCTTTGCTGTTTCCATGTGCTGGGCACTGCGTGGCTGAAATTACTCTACCGAGCACCGCTGTCTGAGTCCGCGCAGAGATGCGACATGTGGCGTCTTTGTGCCCCGGTAAAAGCCACAATGCCGAGCTTCCGCCGATTACGGTTGTCGGACCATCAAGCTGTGTGTCTCTGACTGATGAGCCGCTGACGCTCAAATCAGCACCAGATGTCCAGGCATGGCCCCTCGGAGGCGCCCAGACCACGACTGCCGCTCGACAAAACACGGGTGGTCGGCCCAAGAGGCGAGATGACAGACTCATTTCACCCCGCTCAAGCAAGATTCGCCGGAGGAGGCAGCATCACCGAAACCATACATGTGTTCGGTTTGTATATTTGTGTATGTGTGTATTGGGGGCGGTGCCGGCATAATGACACTCGTGTGCTGTGAGACATGTTATTGGACAATGCCGTATGGACCTATTCCCGATATATAGGGACCTGGGGGAGGGGGGATGAGACTGTATTTAATCAGCCCTCGTGGGCTGCTTAGTGTGGTTCACGGAGCTTATTCAATAGGCAGCCTTTTTCAATGTAGAGCTTTCTATGTAGAGCTTCGGGCCAGAGAGCCCGTGCCATGTAAATTATGTAAATAAACCCTCTCTACGAAGTTCAACCTCCTCCTGCCTCAACATCTTGATCCCGGATCTCCGGTGTCGCAAACCCCGGTCGCAACAGTGCACATTAAAGAACCCCAGGTGGTCAAAATTTACGGAGCTTTTCACTACGATGTCTTTCACAATCACATAGTCATTTTGAGACAGTAAACCCCACATATTATTATTATTATTATTATTTTGATCCTGTATGTTATGGCAACTCTTATGCAGCGTTTCTCACTGTTAATCTTGCTCACAGGCAACACGTGTTGCGAGGCCTTCGAGCACGCTTAGCAGTGATCAGCAAGTGTTCACCAGCTGAAAAAAGGTACCTTCCTGAATACTGCCAAATTTGCTTGAGGAAATAAGTGTCGATTGTGAGTCAAAATTAACAGAGCAAAATGCCACCGAAGAAAAACATATTGTATCACAAAGAAAAAACAGTATCAGTGATACATGGTATTTTTTCTTTATGGTTTTAACAACTCCTTAGATCAGAGGTCTCAAACTCAGCTCAGCCAGCGGGTCGCAGTTAGTCCCACAAGGGCAGAGACAAAGGGGAAGGTAAAGAAGGGGGGGGGGGGGGGGTTGTTAGTTTATAAAAACGTCAGTTAAAGTTACCACTTGAAAGAAAACCTTCCCCATGTCTCACGTATGGGTCATTTCTAAATTTAGTGCACAGCATTCCAACAAGTCGATACCTATGGCCAAAACTACTAAAATATAAATGGCAACACTGAAACATAGTTTTTGTTTCATGGTTACGTTTCAAAAGATAGTGACCACATGAGGTGACTCGCGAAAACAGTGCTTTAGACCAGTCATGCCTGTGTAGCTCACAAACGTAGGTGCAAAAAATTTTTTAAACTGTAGGAATTAAGACAGTCGTGTGCAAGCCACAGGCCATGTGTCTCAGTACCCTGCCCTAGATGCATCATAAAAAAAGGTATGGTAGGAAGACATGGACAAAATAGAATCAGACAGCACAGATGCTGGTACTCTTGTACTCATGCCATCATATAGCTTATTTCATGATTAAACTCAACTTACTTTCTCCTTACATGTCCCCTCAGTTGAGTGGTAAGAACCGCATTTTTTAGCGTACAAGATGCACTTTTTTTTTATCTGATTATTTTCACAGGTGCATCTCACACAAGGCTGAGTCTTACATATCCAAAAAGTCATACGATTCTGCGTGACCAATATGCCAATATTTCATTCACGAGTATGATATACTGAACGCAAGAGCATTCGTAAAAAGACATCCAATCTTGTTATAACAATGAAGTGGGTGTGGTCTTAGGAGTCAGCTAGCTACTTGTTTAAGCTGTGCAGCAACCACAAAGATTACAGCTGCAATAAAAGCCACCATCCTGTCGTGCCCTGTTGTACTATTCCAATTTCTTTTTTTAAACAAAACACTAACCTCACGGAACTGAGGCAGTAAATAAAACAGGGCAGTACAATGTTTCATTGGTACATTCTAGCACTCACAATACTAGTTACAAAATGAAAATGCAACTTTGTTATCATCATCATTTATTTCTGTAAGAGAAATAGCTCCAGTACAGCAGTATTGAAAGCCTCCAGTTTTCGGTCGCAACCTGCGTCTTGTACACGTGTGTGAGGTGTGTTGTCTATGTGTTTCCACCAAACCTCATAATGACGTAGTGGCAAAGCCAACTGTGTGCTTCGAGGTGCTTACAATGCTGCACAAACGAGTAACTCAGAGGCAGGCAATACCACCCAGCCATAAGGTCGAAGAACATTTGACAGTGCACAAGAAGATTTGGCTTTAAATGTAGTTAAATAAATATCAGCTTTCTGCACCTTAAAACAGGGTTATTTACAAGTTTTATGCTGCTGCTTATGTATATTCAGTGCCGTGCATGACTATGCATTTTACTATGAATGTACTGCGTGCATGATTGTGTTTCATCTAGGCTTGTGTGAATATTCAAGTGCTTCAAATATTCGAACAAATAATGCGGTATTTGAATTCGCTTCAAATCGAATTTAAATTATTGAAAATATTTAATTATTTGAAACGGACAAATAGGTACATATTAATCCACATGAACCAGCCTGTAAAAGTGTTTTAACAAAGCATTTACCTAAATGTATATTAGGTGGCATGTCACCTGTAGAAGTGGTTTTACTGCAGTGCATTCAAGCTAAGCTGCAAAAACACACATCCAAAAGAAATCCGCACTGTCGTGAAGCCCCACTTCAAGGTTAAATAAAGATATTACCGTCATATCGATTCATTTCTTCAGTTTAAAAGCTCATTATGCCGACTTATATACTCTAAGTAAAGCAAATTTTAAAATGTAGCATTTCATTTTATTGAAAGCCAAATCCTGCTACTATTCAAAGTTTTTTCACTTCCTTTAATGAAAAAAAAAAAAGCCATTTGCACAGGCCTTGTTTCAATTTAAAAAAATATTGTGCAGGTCAATTTGGTCATCACAAATATGCCCCTTTTTCTTTATAATATGCGATATATCTTAAATTCGATTTGAAATTATTCAACCAAAATCACTATTCGCACAAGCCTAAGTTTTAGCATGTTGACAGATTTAAAAATAGATGCATCTTATACAGAGGTGCATCTTGTATACCAACTTTTCTCGCGAAAGTCTTCACTGCCTCACACATTGCACAGTAAAACCTTGTTCATTTGAAGTCACTGGGGGCCGCGAGTTTTCGAATCAACGAAACGTACAAAAAAGTGGGATGCAAGGAACTTGGAATTATTTGGAGTATTCACGGCTGGTCGTTTGCTGTAACAGTTAATCAATGGCTCCAAGTGTTATGTTTTCCAGTAATACCTGGTCCCAATTTTGTTACAAACAGGGGGGAATGGCAGGCCTTGCTGCTGCCACCAAAAAAAAGAAAAAATGCTGCCGTGATTAACTAAAGCCCACGCCTGCGGAAAGCAAAAAATTTGCACTTCAATACAGTGGTGACAAGCGGGTAGCATGTCGACTGTTCCTTGCTGCATTAGCATGTAATAATGCGACCATTAAATAAAGAATTCAATAATGGCCAGGGTGAAAAAAATTCATGATGGGTTTTGGCTGGAAAACATGATCACTGAAGCTTTTGAACTCAGTTTTCGAGTAGGCATTGCAGGCAAGAACTCCGCCAGTAGTGCAAGAGCACAATTTGCTGGAGCAACCGGCAATCGCCATATGTCGTGAATTTCTCCGAACTGTCCCTTATGAATTTCCTTATATTTCCAGAGAGAACTGGTAAATCATAATGTGCTGACGTTGCAAGAAGCATGCGATGTACTGCCCGCCCCTCACCGCTGTGTTGCAGTGAAGCACGTTTTGTTTCAGTTGACCATAGGACCTCCCCCCACCTTTTTTGTGCTGGAAGTAGCGAGCCTGGGGTGCCTCAGTAGCCACCAATTGGTACCACTATGCTGCATTGCCATGTGGCTCTTAAGGGCCGTTGTTTCTGGGGGTTCGCAGCGAAAGCGACATTGAGAATCAGCACATGGCACTCTGTTTTCGAATGAACCGGAAGGTGCAGACGGCCGTTTCAAATCATCCGTTCATAATTGCATTGCAAAATACGGGACCACAGAAATATTTTGAATTAAGTGAGATTTCAAAATAACCGAGTTCCAATTGATGAGGTTTAACTGTACATAGCAAATTGCTGTAGGGTTAAGTGTTTTATGCGTATTTTAAAGGCAAACAACACTACTGGAAACACTCAGCAAGCAAATGTGGGAGCGACGCTCATCTGCCTCATCACGTAGCAGAGAAGCACATTATAACTGCTCTTTTGCGTGCTATCAATAATTTAAGTGCAATTACTAGTGTTGCAGTTAAGCTTGAATTCTCGAATTACTCAGTTTTAAGCAAACTGGCCCAATGTATAATTTGGTTGCACTTATCTTTTAAACGAATGAAAGCAGCAAGCTTCTTGCATGCTTTCTAAAACTCTGTAATGCATGCTTCAATCCAAAAATCTACCAAACAACTTATCAGCTGCTGTGTAAACTAGACTCCAAAAGGTTATTTTATCTAAATAACTTGAAAATTTGCAGTGCTTGGTCTGGTTTAAGCAATACAGAAAAAAAAAATGCTTACAAGGTATAAACGAGCAAAAACAATAAACCATCAACATTTTTTTTATTCAGTGCAATGTTTTTCAGAAATGCAAGCAACTAGCACATGTTTTTTTTGGGAGCCAGAAATTATATTAACAGCAGCTTAAAAATGTACGTTCAAGAGAGTTCAGAAGTGTTAGTGCCAACGAATCTTGCCTGGGCAATGATAATGTGAACTTCGCTTTTAATAAAATTCAAACAACTTACAGGGTACTGCATGACCCAGTGAACTACTTCGCAACCACCTCTTGTATCTCGGTCGATGATGTCCAGCTTGATCACAAGTTTATCCCATCGCTTGCGGTACTCAGTGTCCGTCTGCAAAGTAATGCATATAGAGTTGGGTGTCTGTCATAAAAATACACATTGTTAAGTCACAAATATTGTTTTTAAAATAAGGTGTTGCTTAAAGTATAGTCTGCACTCAGGCATTTTGTTTTTATTACTTACGCAGCAGTTCGTAAGCTGCTGCTTTGCATACCTGCCAAGTTCAAGGATTCTGAATCGGGGAGATTTTAGCAACAGGAGTGAGTAGGTGGAGGGGTGGAAGCGATGGATTATTTTCTTTTTTTTCGCACCAAAAAAAAAAGGGAAAAAAGACATCCCGCAAAAATAAGAGAGAGGGGGTCCCAATCACAAGCGCCAACAACGGCGTTCTGGTTTTATAATGAATAGCTTGGAGTGGCCGAACACACGAGGTAGGTTCCCCACTAAGGCGAGTTTCAACGAGCAGCACAAATACTACAAAAATTTTCGCGTCATCAAATCAACAAGCAAAAATTTATTTCCGTCAAAACAACTCGAGTATGTCTTCCTGGGACACGCGTGAACGGATGGGACGGCGCAGCTGGCTGCCACGAAAGTGCGTGTCAAAGCTTTGGCTTTGCTCGCTACTAGATTCTTTGGACAGGAACACCAAAAGGCTTCTAGCCTTTTTTTTATTTTTTCATGTATTCACTGACTTTATTCTACTGCTGCATTAGCCACATGTCCTCGGAGCTCGTAGATCACTATCACATTGCCACGACTGTGGTTTTGTGCGCGGCGGTTGCGGCAAACTGTTTCCATTTTCAATCCGCGTGCAGTGGCTGTGCACGTGCCTTCAAAACGAAGTCGTTTTATGCTTTCTATGATTGCATCTGCCACGGTCTTGTCCACACTTTGCGGAGAGCAGCGTTGCTTTGAGTGGTCGAGCATTGGACTGGTGCACACTTTCAGAGTACTGTCACTGTCGTCGCCATTAATGATTGTGTCAAGAACGACTGTGGTTTCGTCCACAACGGCTGTGGCAACAACCACATGCACTGAAAAAGACAGTGCGTGCGCTGGTCGCACACTAACTTCTGAAGCTTCGGGCACGCTACTCTCGATTGGCTTTGGTTCGCTGATTTCGGTACTAAAGTTCATACCACACGCCACGATTTGGAAAAGTGTTTGGAACATTCAAATGAAGGCCCAATAGACACAGTGAAATTTTGCTGGGAAATTTCACGAATTCGTATCGGCCACAGTTTGGTATCACTGAGACTACTGTATGTTTAGACGAACGCCTCTTAAATTCGTTTATAATAAAATGCGGTACGGTCGCAAACAGCCTGGAGCAGACTGACCTGCATTTTTGTCAATGTGGCCAGATCACACACAAAAAGATTAATTTACAGGAGATTTTCATGACAATTGTACAAACGGAAGACATCGTCGAAATCCGAGAGACTTGGCAGGTATGGCTTTGGGTGCTGAAGCATACTTATAAAAATTATTAACGTGAGAACAGAAAACCGTTCTAATAAAAAGAAAGATACAAAGCCAGACAACACCCAGGCATCAATCAAGCTTTTATTCACAAGTAACAATGCCATGTATTGGCTTCACCGCAGCACTGTGGTCGATGACAAGGACAAACATGAAAATAAAAATTTCTGTGAGTGACAGGTGCCAAAGTCTCACCGCAACCAAAAATAATTGCTGCTGCTGGCCTCAACAATAACAAACTATTGTTACTCATTGGAACATTTTTTTCGCAACTGCTTTTGTGCACAGCTGTCCTGCACCCCACTATCAAGTAATTACTCAAAATTACTAAGAGTGAATAATTGTAGAATACATACATCGCGCTTGGCAGCAAGTGTCCATGCTTAAATAATGAGTGCCTACTAGACCATGCATCGCTAATTTGCAGGCACCATCTGGAGGACTTGCTTGAAACGTATACTCTTGTGTATGTAACTTGAAAAGCAGTGCAATATAACAAGAACAGGAATAAAGAACGAACACAAGCAAGACGAACATCAAACTGCCAACTGGAAATTCGTTTGAAGCAGAAACCTACTAACAATAGCCAAACGTTGAATGGCATGTGTACTGCTTATATGTACAGCTAGAAAATGAAAAAATTTCTAAAGCGTAGTCTAAGTGATGCTGTGCTGAAATATATAGCTTCTAGTTTAGCAAAGCTGTAATCTTTTATAATTTATTAATTTTTTTCTTTGCTACTTGTGTACGTCAGAAACTTAAGAGTAACTAAATATTTCAGTAAATACACATTTATTGCGTGCATCTAAACATCAAGCATTTCTATTTTTCTAGACTGCCTTGCCTTACTCTACCTTGCTGTCTTGCTTTACCGTTAAAACACAGCCTGCTTTGTCTGGTGTGCTTTCCTTCTTGTGATTCCTTCTTTTTTCATGCTGCTTCAAGTTATACACAACATAAACCAACTCGGCCTACACGGGTATCTGCTTTAACACATTCTTTTTGCTGTGAAGCACATTTGACAAATGGAGGGCTTTGCAGGCTGACGGTCACTGGTCTGCTTGGACTTTTGTAGCTGACTGATAACATTATTAGCTGTTTGTAGAATCCATTTCGTGATAGACACACATTATTTGTTGTTCACAGTGCATTGGTGTCGGTGTGTCTCAGTTTCTATGCATGCTGGTTCACAGATTCATTATATCTACAATAATATAGGCCATCATGATGTTTATGATTCAAGTGAAATATGTAATTTTAACCCTTTGACATGCTACGTACACAATTGTGTACACCATCTGTACTTGCTATTGATATCGAACTAGGGGCCATGTAAAAGCAAGATATATTGGGCTTTCGATGAATGGAACCTCCTGCATAATAAATTTGTGTTCATTCATCTTCATGTTGCAGTTTACTGTTGCGTATGATTACTTTACTGAAGGCACTAGCACATTCAATGAGTTGAGCGATGTGCCCCATTTCAAAAGTGAAATTTTTCGCTTAGCATGGACATAAGTGAAAATAAATTTCCACTACATTTCTAGCCTGAGATTCGATTCGATCTATTTAAAAATATAGCACGAATAGGCTTAGAATAAATAGATATTTAATTACAAAGTAATTAGGAATGATTACTATAGCACACTATTTAACATTTAATGACATTATTTTTGTTGCAGTACAATACTGAGCACCTTGAAATAACATTGCATAAAATTGAGAACTAGCAGAATATCATGCCAAGGAAAGTATTGCGGATGTAATAAGAAGTAAGGTATTGCAAATATGAAGAAAGAAAAGTGGGCAAAAAGATAACTTGCTGCTGGCAGAGACCGAACCTGTGACTTCTCCTATCGATGCTCTAGCACTGTGCTACATCGGCGGTCTTCCCTCCATCCACTTTATAACATATATATATGTGCAATTAAACGTGAGAGTGTCAGCAGGCATCGCCAGTAGTGACCACGGCGTGTGTGTGGAACGCTCTTCTTTTGCCTTTTGGTGTCACGTAGCACATTATTACAAACTGGCAGCTAACAAATATCTCTCGTATATTACCTGAAGGCATCAAGTCCCCCACAAGTGTGCACTGTCGTACTTTATGAAAGGAAACACGCACATGGCCTGTGCTCTGCAGCGGCTGCCTACAGCACCATCAACCGAGAAGTGAAGAAAGCACGTTTGCCGTATGGTCAAGCAAGATAACGAGTTTTGGCCGGTAGACAATCGCTGCCAGATTACGTTTTCTCACCGCTTGCACAGCGAGCAATATCGAGCGATTACTGCAACCTGTGCTGTGGTCGTACACAACGTTTGATATGTTGGCAGTGGACTACGCACTGTAACATATGCTGTCGGGCTAGTTAGTGTGTAACTGTGCAGAACATCGTTCTGCACAGTTAAACCAACCAGCGCCAACAATGTTCTGCACAGGGACTACGCACTGCAGGCCTGAGCAGAGAGGGAGTGCAATCTAGCAGTGCTTGTCTATTGGTCATAACTCGTTTTTTTTTTTTTTTGGCAACAGATGACGCTGAAAGCGAACATGTTTTCTTTTGCTGTCAGTTGCTGGCGCTGTAGGCAGCCGCCGCAGAGCGCAGGCCACGCGTTCGTGTGTTCCCTTTCGTAAAGAACGGCAGTGTACATTAAGGGCTCTTTTTTTTTTTTTTTTAGACACAATACTATTGAGAACAGGCAATGGTGCCAAGGAAAGTATAGCAGATGTTATTAGAATTGTAATGTAAAGTACAATTCCTTTCTTTGGCATTACTGTTTGTTAATTCTCATAATTATGGTGTCTAACAAAGAAAACAAGCTCTTAGTGTACATCTCATTCCTTTACGGTATAGGTTTGATACATTTACAGACAGTTCATTACAGGAGGTGTGAAAATTAAAAAGCTAGTGAAGTGTGCCAAAACATTACATCCTGCCACATTGCAAAAAGCCTTAGTACTGTTCCACAATGACTTTCAAATTATTCAATGTTATTTTGGTTGCTATTAGGTCTGACCATAACAACTGCTTCAAACTGCTTTGTACAGTCGAGTTCACTTATAACAATGTATCACATAACGATGAACACCGATAGCACTGTCTTCTTTTGTGTGCTTTCTATGATAAAATAAACTACTTATTACGATCCTAAAGTGCCACAATATCGGATATAGCGATTGAATCTGGCTACATTGTGCACTGCATATGGCTCTCCGCATCAACAGCATGTGCCCCGCACCCCATCCAAACCACCCAAAAATGAGTTGACTGCGCCTCTTACAAGTAAGCGAGAGGAGGAGGACCTTTTTTTCTCAACTTCCAAAGCAATGCTAGAAAAGGCCATCAAAGAGGCTGTTGCAGAGCTGCCGGCTTGGGCATCGCTAGGCGGTGGTGGGCTCAAACTCCCCCCAGAAATTCAAAAATTTTGCTTGTGTTTATATACATGCACACATACAAACATACATTAAGTATAAATGAACCTCCCTCCCGGGAAGAATTTCAGGCTACTCCCCTTGCTGCCAGAGTTGTGTTCTATGCTTACTATTTGTACCGCCTATACTTTTTGTA